GACACAGGTGCACCTATAAACATGCAAACAATACCCTCATACACAGAAAATAATAATAAAATATTAAAAAAAAGCCAGTATGTATAACACCATGTTGCTATAAACCTGAACCTTGGAACATCTGGTAGATAAACTTCCTGAACAGAAAGGTATAACTACAACATCTTTTCTTTGGTGCAAAATCCAATCTCCTAATTTTGTCATTAAGAAACACTAAATTATTTTCTCAAATTAGAAATATATGCTTTAAGGTGGATAGGCTCATATTTCTTTGTATGCATGTATGAAATTCTCAAAGAATAAAAAGTCTTTTAAAAATATGCCTTGGACTGGAAATATAATGCAGTACCTAGTATCTGCAATGACCAGGATCAATTGCTCTCGCACCATAGTTATATGTATACATAAATATGGAAAGGAAACAAAAGCTTTGGCTTTACTACATTATTAGCAATTACAAATTAAAGGGAAAAAGGACAAACACATACTCAGGTAACTCCATTATGTAATACAAGTACATTTTATTTAAAAGACATTTCATATATATTTATCACGACATTGTGAGAATCAGATCCAAATATTTGCTTCTCGGGTAAAGATGATTATTAAGTTATAAATTTATAATAATTTATTGTATGATTTTAATGCATAGGATATACATTATGCATTCTTTTCATTTTATGACTATAATTAAGTTTATGTGCTCATAGCAAATTCTGCATGCAATAAATGTACCTTAGTCATATAAGGACAAGAGTAAACGTGTTTGAGTGTGCTAAATAACATTTTAAATAAAAAACAATAGCCCCAGAAACCCTACACAATTAACACAGAAATATCTTAAGTTCAAACATCAGAAACACGAATGGAATGTCTTTTCAAAAATAAAATCATTACTTAACTTAGAAGGATACTTCTGAGGTTATATACATTTGGTGTGTTACCAGGGCTTACCAAATTGTTTTACATGTTAGAGCTTTAAATGGCACGAAGCCCTATAATTTATTTTATTTAGGATGTTAAGTTTGATTCTGATTTTAAGCTCCATCTCCCTGTGTTCTTAAATTAATTCATACAAACCCCTGGTTAACAATAAAAGGGTTTCCCATCAGTATTCAAAGCCCAGCCCGAGTTGCCATGGCTGAGAGGACAGAAATCTGCTTGGAGCAATGAGAGAACCCAACTGAATTCTTGGCGTCTCAGTCTATGAATGTGTAAACACTTCATCTGTTCATGGAAACACAATGTTCTGGCAGGATGGGGGTAAAGGTGACTGCTTGGGTAACAGACGGGAAGAGCTGAGCAGGAGAACTACATCAAGGCACTAAATGGTCAAGCAGAAACATCATGCAAGTTCTTTTATTTTCACAAAAAAAGTGATGTTCTTTAGTATAAGCTCTTTGCACTCTAGGCACGCTATCCCTACAGCTGTCCATCCAATCATTTTTGCAGAGGTTACATATAGATGTGACCTTTACAGCTGTGTTTGTGGAAGGCAGCTATGCTCACCACTATACAACCAACACTACAGCTGTTTGTAAAAACAAAATTTTCTTTTCTCTCTTTTGGAAAATTCTAATATAAACAGGGCCAACTGAAATTTGCTTATCCTTCTGTTTTGCTTATCCATCTTCAATTCAGTGGTGAAAACACTCTCCCAGACCTGAATTCTATTTGGCAACTATATGTGTTTGAGAAAGCAAATGCCCATCACTGAATGTTGGTTCATGTCTGTAAAATAAGGCTGATACCTCCTTGCAAGAATTCCTGTGAAAACGATGGAGTCAGAATGAAAGTGCTCTGTAACTACAACACACACTGTGTAAAGTGTAGCTATCTGAACAATAAAAATATATATAGTGATCATATGGAACATACATGATATTTTCCAGTGGGGAGAAAAGTAATCTTGAAAATTTACATCGTTCCTTCATTCATTTCTTCCTTTTTTTTTTTTTTTTTTTTTTGAGACAGGGTCTCCCTGTAGCCTCAGCTAGACTGGAACTCATTATATAGACCAGGCTGGCCTCGAACTTACAGAGATTTGCCTGCCTCTGTCTCCCAAGTGCTGGGACTAAAGGCGTGCACCACCATGCCTGGTAATTCTTCCTCATATTATCACTTTTCATTCACATTAAGAACAATTAAAGAAGCTGAAAATCATTGAGTCCTTACTATGTGTATGCAAGGTACTAGTCATACACATTAATTCATTGGTCCTCAGATGGATCCTGGGCAAGTGCTGCTACTGTCTCCATCTACTTATTAGGAAACAGGCACTGAGTAAACCTGATAAAGACACAAGGCTAGGAAGTGACAGCACAGGCCTTGAATCGATGTAGTCTAGCCTTCACCATTATACCTTTTACCATTTCTATCAGTTCATTTATACTAATTCATTAAGTATTTAGTGAATATTCCAAGAATTGAGAGATCTGCAACAAAAAAAGATATCAAAACATTTACACCTTTTTCAGGGAGCTATTAGAGGAAACAATCCACAAAAATAGGGAAATGAATAAAGAAAGTGAAAGGTACTGAAGATATTCCAGCAATTTCAGGAAGTAAATAACAAAGGAAATCAGAGGATCCAGAAAACAGAGGCAAAGAAAATTCCTAGGATAACATCTACACAACAGGCCAAGACAGTAACTAGCACAGAGCAGAGCTGAACAGGGAAGGAACACTCCAGAAGGCATAGAGCTAAGATGGTATCAGATTCATTCCTGGAGTGTCTGAGTGCACCAAGAAGAGTTTGATAGTTCTTCTGGGCATTCCTATAGAAACTGCTGCCTCCCAAGGCTAAGGGATCATTGCAGAAGAGGGGAGAGGAGACTGAAAGAGCCAGAGAAGGTGGATGACCACAAGGAAACAGAGTCCTCTAGACAGCTGGTCGGTTACTCATATGAACTGACAGCAATGGTGACAGCACGCATAAGTCCCATGCAGACTCAAACAAGGCAAAATCCCAGCATAGATGTAGGAAGCAGGTAAGAAACCCCAACTCTATCTGAGGAACTATTGGAAACAATGGCTGCTGGAAAGGGGAGAGTCAGTCTGTCTTAAGAGAGACTCTTGGTAGGTTAGCCAGGCTCCAGTGGATTGCACGCACACCGAAGGGCATTTGAGAACACAAATTTGACTCTATCGCCTTAATAAATATATATCAGAGTATGTGAAATTGGATGGGGAGTAGTAAGAGAGGTTGCAGGTGGGGAGGGGTTCTAAATATAATAAAAATATATTGTATGAAATTCACAAAAATCCAATTAAAAAGGAAAAATGTAAATGTGCTTGGTGTATGTGGATGGGGTGGGGGGGTCCCATACTAGAGTATCTATTCACTGATACTTCATCTTAGAATGGAAAGCCACATGAAATCCAGAGGAACTGGGGCCAAGCAAGGCTAGCAGAGTCCCACAGAGTCCCAACTAAACCCAGTCCCTGTTAAAATATCAGCAAAGATAAACATGAAGCAAGAGACAAAGTAAAAAGATCAGAATATTTGAAATGTCGTCATCCATGACAAGATGGTGATATAATCAAGAAATTGTTGTAAGCCACTAAACTTTGGGGAATGCTGCTACTGTAGCAAAGTTGACTGATGCACACAGTACAGTTCATAGCTCAGCAATGAGTATTATTTACATAGTAGAATAATATTAACACTGATTTAATTAAAATTCAAACAGAAAGCTGAAATTCAAAGTTGTATCATAACCAGTCATGCATGGTAGCATACAACTTTAATTTCAGCATTTGGGAGGCAGATGCTGGTGGATCTCTGTGAGTTTGAAGACAGCCTGGTCTACATAGAAAGGTTCATACCAGACAGAGCTATATAATAAGACCCTGTCTCAGAAACAAAACAAAACAAAGTGTGCCATAACTCTACTAAGAGGTCAGAGAAAGAAAAGGGAAGATGATTTTAGATATATAAGCCCAAATATAAAACACTAGGAACTCAATAATGTGTAAAGTAGAAAAGTCAAAGGGCAAAATATAGTATTTGGAATTCTGTGTGTAAAATGCAAAAGAAACAACAGAATTCAAAGTTTTTGTCTCAAGGGAGCTAGAACTAATTGTAGCATTACAATTTCATATTTCCAATTCCAGATGCCATTGACAATATGGTACAGGGAAGATGCTGACTGAAATTGAGATGCTATTAAGGGTTAACCTGTTTAGGGGCTCTTAATTACAAATTGAATATTTGTATACTCAGTATATCATCTGTGAATACTGCATGCCTTATTTCTAACAATTACCATGTGTTGGCACGTTCATGTCAGCCTTTCCTTTTATTGTTTTTGTGGCAAGCAACTGAGCTACACCATCAGGTCCCTTTTAACCATTTCAATAACAGAATCGTGAAAGAATGAGAAAAATAAAAGTCAATTAAAAAACTCTGCTCTTTTGTTAACAACCAGAATTCAATTCAATATGTAGTGATTTTACTCACAAAAATAAGTTATAAAGTAATACATGCTACAAAATAATTTAGCATAGGGTCCATTTAAATAGTGGGCAGGCATTTAATTACTGAATTTATCAAAATTCTGATACAACTTTCTAGACATATATTTCCACACAAAAATCAATATACCAATACACATATTTGCAGTAAAATAATAGAAGATACTACTTGTAAAGGGAATTTTGCTGTCACCTATAGATTTCACTTACCACGTTAATGGTTTGCTTTCTTTTTATCATGAGCAAATGGAAGCTATTGACTGTGTCAAGTTTCAGCTCAAAACTTCTAGTACATGCATAAAAATACATGAATAGAAGCACAGAATCCTCGCTCACAACAATGCTTCTGAGATGCCCTTAACCATACTGTACTTTGAGTGGTACTCAAGAGGCCCACTATTTAGAAAAAGACATCAAGGCAGAACAACAAAGCATAAGAAAAACGAAACCAGTATGCCTTATAATCTACCAGGCTATAAAATTCAGTCATCAGAAATCAAAATAGTAGGGCATGTTTTCCATACCTCTTCGTCTTTCATATTCACGTCCACATTTTTCGATTTGATGGCTTTGGTTATATAGTCAATGTTGTTTTCCCTGCAGTAATCAAATATGTTTTTGTCTTCTTCCCTAAACAAATAAAAAATCTGTGTTACTGGATAATACATAAAAGTTAATCATTTTTAATGTAACTTGTTTGCTGCCAACACAGACATCAATGGAATCTGTTTTATTTTAACTACATGAAGAGTAAAAAGTTCCAATAGATACAATATATCCAATATCCAAAATGACTCTTAGCAACCATGATTGCTATGGGGAAAACTTCATTGTCCAGCAGGTTACAGCAGTAGATCAGCATTACACCTTGAAGTAGGTTTTCTCTGTCCTTCTCCCAGTTTCTTTCTTAATACCAACAGGCACAAAGTCCCATGATAGGATTTTCAGTTAGAGCACTGCAATAAGATGACAGTTTAGGGAAACAAAAGCTGGGAAGAATACTGTTTTAAGTGTATTGCATGAGATCATTCATTTAATCTTTTTTGGCCTATGTGTGTTCATGTGTGTGCATGTACATGTGTGTGCAGGTGGATGTGCATGTGTGCACATCTTTCTTGATTGCTCTTTTATTTATTGAGGCAAGGTCTCTTGCTGAACCCCAGAGCTCACCAATTCCAGCTAGTGTAGCTAGCTAGTTTGTCCTGGGGATCCCCATCACTAACTTCTTCCTGAGTGTAGGAATTACAGTCATGCCTGCTGGCTTTTATGTGGGCTCTGGGGATCTGACCTCTGGTTCTCCTGCTTGTGAGGCAGGCCCTTTATCCACTGAGTCATCTCCCCAATCCTCATTTAATCTTTAATTCAGTAACCTCAGTGTATAGGTAAACAGGTTAAGTAACTTTGCAAATATTACATTTATCAAATGTGGGTGGGAGAAAGTGGTTAGAAGTGCATTCTGCTCTGAAGCCCAGAGTTCGGTTCTCAGCACCCACAACACACCGCTCACAACCATCTGTAACTCCAGCTTCAGGGGGAATACAATGTCTTTGTCCCCTGCTGGCAATTGTGCTCATGTGTACACCCCTCCCCCACATACATAAACACCCACACACAGACACACAAACATGTACACATACTTTTAAAACTTAAATTCTTTTTAAAAAGCTGGAATTCACTCAAACCAACTGACTGAATACAGTACATTTTCTATCATACAACGTGCCTCCACTGGTCAGTTGCAGTCTATTCTAAAATCTAAAGCAGATATTTTTAGCATGAGGTCTATGAACTCTCAAAAATACTACATGAAATTACCTTGGTAACACATGCATTTTTATGGATTTTCTGGATCAGTGACTCACAAAACAATAGGTAATTTAGAATAGTAAAATGAAAGTCTCTAATATGTGGACTGAACTTTATGGACAGGTATAAAAGAACGAATTTTGTGTTCCCAAAACTAAAGTTGTGTGTCTTATTACCTCCAAGGCCATACTTTTCACTTATTAAAAAAGTGGTAGCTAGCCGGGCGTGGTGGCGCACACCTTTAATTCCAGCACTTGGGAGGCAGAGGCAGGTGGATCTCTGCGAGTTCAAGGCCAGTCTGGTCTACATAGTGAGTTCCAGGACAGCTGGGCCTACAGGGGGTAAAAGTGCTTACTATACAAGCATTAAGACCCGACTTCAGATCCCTGGAGCACACATAAAGCAGGGCACTGCAGTGAGTGCCTGCAATCCCAGCAGGGAGCAGAGCAGCGATGGGAGCCATGGAGGAGACACCACCTGATGCTGCAGGGCAGCAACAAGCTGCACCAGGAGAAACTGACCCTGGGCGTCCCCACATCCTAGAATCTTCCCCAGGTGTAACATAGGTGACTATTATAGAAAGCTGACTCTCATATGATTTCTTTGTGGAAACAAAAACCAATTGTGTGATGCCTGAGGGATGTGAGATACTTTTGGTGGGGTGGGGGTGGGGTGGGGGGGTGGCTTGCCTGGCAACAAATATTTTAATTTTTGTTTAGGATGACAAACAATTTTCAAGTTTACTTCCTTGTCTGTTTGCTGTTTAAATACAAAGCTAAACCACAAACAGGTACAATCAGGACATTTCATCTCACAGTTCCCCTTCCTGGCAGATCCTCCTTTAAGTCTCAGACCACTGACCAGGCTGATGAGGGGTGCAAAGGAAGACTTTCTTAGGTAGCACCATCATGAGGCTAGGGGACAGAATGGAGGTGTTGGGGAAAATGATAGGTCTCCATTCATATTTCCCGGGCTCCTTAGCTCCAGCCCCTGGACTGATGGTGACCAGTGAGGACCAGCACCCCCTAGGAAGGGTGGAAGCCACCAATTCCTGCTCACATTCCAGGTGAAAACTTGAGTCTCATCCTGGTTTCTTGGCTACTTGGCCTTGCTGGCTGACAGGTACCCCTGGTGCCATACCTATCAGATGCCTGATGCTGCCCTGTGGTGGCTGAGATCCTGGGATGACAGGTTTACACTTCATGGCTGCATCATCCCAGGACACCAAGGGCTCTGACAAACAGAAGGCCTTGACAACAGGTTCAGAACTTTCCACGCAGTAGAATTGGGGTGTAGGGGGTAATTGGGCTTAGTAATTTCTTAGTAATTACTTTTGATTAGAATAGAGTACCATCTCAAATCTTCTCTACAAAAACCAAACAAACAAAAAGAAAAAAGACTTTCAAAAAAAAAAAAAAAAAAAAGAAAAACACAGCCATTTCATGATGTGAGACACTTTTACCTGATGACACGGAATGTGAAGCTGGATGAGCACATCACTGCATGAAGAGCATGGGAATTAATGCATCTCAAAACTGACTCAGCTCAGCCAGCCTTCCATGTACTCACTTCCTAATGCACCGACTCTGACAGACCTAGAGGATGATACCCATGAAGCCAATGAGGAGAAGCCAGAGAAGTCTCACTTTGACTCCCAAAGTGTGATATTTGAGCTAGATTCATGCAATGGGAATGGGAAGGTTTGCCTTATCTATGAAAATAGGAAACCAGGATTACCTCATGACACTGAAATCTGGTTCCTGGACAGAGCATTATACTGGCATTTTCTCACAGATACCTTACTGCCTATTATCACCTGGTCATCACCCACCTGGGCCTGCCCAGTGGCAGTATGCCTTCACCAGCTATGGTATTAGCCCACAGGCCAAGCAATGGTTCGGTATGTATGAGCCTGTCACCTACAACACAAACTTGTTCAAGGACGAGAACGAGTCCTCTGTAAACAAGCTGGATCCCACCAAAGTGTTTAAGAGCAAGACCAAAATCTTAATCCCCAAAAGGAAGGGCTTGTATGGCCTGTAGGTACCTAGAAAAGGCCTGGGCCCTCAGCTCCCCCTGTTCCTAAACCCTTCTTTGGCGTTTTGGAAACCCTGTCTGAAAATGAGCACCCCTCAACCCAGCTCCCCTCTAGCCCCACAATTCAATGCACAGATGGCCCTCAAACTCTTTTTGTGTGTGTGACTGTAAGCATCCCCTCAGTGACCAAAGAAAGCTCTAGGCTTTTATTCCCTGTGTCATTAGCCAGGAGCTGGAAGGGCACACTGAATTCTCCCAGGAGTCCTTCCCCTAGTAGGTTGTGCAGTCCCATCTCCAAAAGCTATTAAGAATTTCAGATCTGTTGAGAACTTTCCTGGTTTTTTTTCCAGATCTTCCCTATTTTTATACTCAACCCATAACCTCTTAGCAGTAGACATTCTCCAGAAATAAACCCATGGCTTGACCCATGAAATATTAGTAGCCACTTTAGTTATGAAAAATTCATATCCTCAATTGCATTAGTACCTTTCCAAGCATTTACATGTCTAGTAGATTCCATATTGGACACCACAGAGATATGGAACATTTCTATAAAAGAAATGTTTTGGACAGCATTTCATAAGAATTTCTTTCTGTTCTTCTGATCAGTTTGTTTTTGCTGTTAGATAATGTTGATGCTTTAACTTGATGGGCTACATAATGTTTTGTGAAGACTCTTAAAGAGACAGTTTTATGTTTTTTATGTCGTATACCACAAACAAATCTTACTTGGCTCATTTCTTTCTAAATTTTCTATAAAGTTCCATCGTCCCGATCAAAAAATTAAAATAAAATAAAAAAATAAAAATCCTGCCCATCAGAGTTCATCTTCCTTAACAAGCACCCTAAACAACTAATGTGGCACAAAAAGTTATGGCCAATCATAGCTGTCTTAAAAAACATTACTTTGGTATAAGTCATCCTAAAGCCTTCCTGAAGCACCTAGTGTATTTTATCGAGCACCTACTTAGTACTGGGCAAAATTTTGTCATCAAGAGATGTAAGACTAGGGGCTGGAGAGATGGCTCAGCGGTTAAGAGCACTAACTGCTCTTGCAGAGGACCAGGGTTCAATTCCCAGGACCCACATGGTGGCTATGAATGCTCCTTAACTCCAGTTCCAGGGGAATCCGACACCCTCTTCTGACCTCCGTGGCATTGCATGACAGGATGCACTCACATACACGCAGGCAATACACTCACACATAAAATGAAAATAATAAATAAAAATAATTTTTAAAAAAAGAGTTGTTGGGGCTGGAGAGATGGCTCAGTGGTTAAGAACACTGACTGTTCTTGCAGAAGACCTGGGTTTGAATCCCAGCACCCACATGGCAGCTAACAACTGTCCATAACTCTAGCTCCAGGGGCTCCAACAGCCGCTAAAATAAAATAAAATAAAATAAAATAAAACAAAATAAAATATTTTTTAAAAAAAGAGATGTAAGGCTAAAGAAGATAGTTTGCCTTTGATACACTTGCACTATGTATATTGAAATGGTCTGCTTCAAGCTAGAGAAAAATAAGATAGGTTTTAAGAAATAAATTATTTTTTAAATTGAAAATGTCTTTTTTTTAACAGAAGTTAAAGTGTGGTTTAAAACCACTACTCTGTAAAGGAAATATGGAAGACTGAGGTCAAAACCCAAGGAAGACTGATTTTAAAAAATCAAGGCTGTAGCCAGGTGTGGTGGCACACTCTTTAGTCCCAGCATTCGGGAGGCAGAGGCTGGAGGATCTCTGTGAGTTCAAGGTTGGCCTGGTCTACACAGTGAGTTCCAGGCCAGC